TAATTATGATGATGCCAGTAGTAGTGTTAACACCAATAATACTAACACGAATGATAAGCATGCTATAATATAGCGACGGATAGTAGTACTTCAAAGTAATAATGTGAATATTCGTAGTAGTATTGATAGTGTTAATGCGAATTGCAATCGCACTACTCGACTCATAGTCGTAATATTGAGAATAATATCCATGCATATCATACAAAGTACCATCGTACTAACAGTAGTAAGAGTAACGGGAATAACACATGTAATATTCTTATTTGTTAATAATGCTACTACTAATACTAATACGAATAATGAGAATAATGCGAATACTAAGGCGAATCATAAGAAAACGACTGCGATGAGGAGGATGAGGGGGAGGAGAAGAAGGAGGAGGAGGAGGAAGAGGAGACAGGAGGCAGGAGGCAGGAGGCACGAGGCACGAGGCAGGAGGCAGGAGGCAGAGGAAGAGGAAGAGGAAGAGGAAGATGAGGAGGAGGAGAAGGAGGAGGAAGGGGAGGGGGAGGAGGATGCGGAGGAGGAGGAGGAGGAGGAGGGGAAGCAGGAGGAGGGAGGATGAGGAGAAGGAGGAGGAGGAGGAGGAGGACCACTGTAAACCCAAGAGTCATCAACGGTGTTGGAATTAACCCTCCCTCCAAGCTCCCTCATAGGCCCCTACAACGGTTCGTTTCCATTGATGGAACTGTTTCGTTAGAAGACAACCGTTTGAAGACCTTGAAGCATGCCAAAACATCGTTCTCGGGATTCCCACGCCACGGATCAACCTGACTGCGGCGTCCTGAGGATGTAGAACCGTGCGAGAACGCCATTCTTGGGAATTCAACTCCGCGAATCAACATATCTGTTGCGCCCGCATAATCCAGAATCCTTCCAAAACACCGTTTCTGGTACGTTGATCATAGGACAACCTTGAAACTCTTGTGAATTTCCTTAATCAGAGCTTTCCTCTGTAGGGGTCTCAGCGGAAACTTCTGGTTAGGTGAGGTGCGGCGCCGATTTCGGCGGCACGCCCGGATGCCCAGGTGCCAGGTGCCCGGGTGCACGGGTGCCCTGTAGCCCTATAGCCCTATATCCCTGTAGCCTGATAGCCCTATAGCCCTGTAGCCCTATGGCACTATAGCCTTGTAGCCCTATAGCCCTATAGCCTCATAGCCATATAGCCCTATAGCCCTAAAGCCCTATAGCCCTGTCACCCCGCAGCCTTATAGCCTTATAGCCCTGTAGCCCCATAGCCTTATAGCCCTAAAAAGATTATGACTTGGGCTTTTCTCCGGTATCATTTTAAAGCGAATGTTCGCGGCGCTCAGGTGAGAGCCACATGTTGAAAAGGAGCTCCTTTCAATCCGTGAAAGTCTTGCACATTTTCAATACGAATGTGCGCGGCGCCAAGGCGAGAGCCACATTTTGAAAAGGAACCGCCTTGAATCCGTGAAACTCTTGCAAATGTCCAAAAAGAATGTGCGCGGCGCCAAGGCGAGAGCCACATTTTGAAAACCACCCGCCCAGAATCCGTGAAACTCTTGCAGTTTTTGAAAACGAATGTGCGCGGCGCTAAGGCGAGAGCCACATTTTGAAAACCACCCGCCCAGAATCCGTGAAACTTTGCAAGCTTTTAAAATCAATGTGCGCGGCGCTAGGGCGAGAGCCACATTTTGAAAACGACCCACCTTCCATATGTGAAGCTGCTGCCTTTTGTTAAGCTTCAGAGTCATTAGTGGTGAGGAAGTTTCAGGCGAAACGCCCGGCCAGCCCTAAAAACTTGCCTCGGGGTGCGACAGGGATAAGTTATTCATGAGGAAAAGGAGTGGAGGAGGAGGAGGAGGAAGATGAGGATGAGGAGGAGGAGGAGGAGGAGGAGGAGGAGGAGGAGGGGAGGGAGGAGGAGGGAGGAGGGAGGAGGGGAGAGGAGGAGGGCGGAGGGAGGAGGGAGGAGGGAGGAGGAGGACCTTTTGCATCTTTCTTCAGATAGGACCCCTGAGTGCTAGTTCAGCCCCACCATGCCACATCACAGTCCAGGGAACTCCATGCCAGATTTAGGCGGGAGTCCTTTTTTCAGCGGGCTCAAATTCTCAGGAGGACAGGGCTAGGTACGATTCACAGGATGCTGCACACAAAAAACCACAAAGCTTACAAAATAAACTATCACGGTGAATCCACAGGGAGGAAGGAGGGAGGAGGGAGGAGGGAGTGGAAGGAGGAGGAGGAGGAAGAAGAGGAGAACGGGGAGGAGGAGGAGGAGGAGGAGGAGGAGGAGGAGGAGGAAAAGGAGGGAGGAAAAGGAGGGAGGAGGAGGAGGAGGAGGAGCAGGAGGCGCAGGGGCTGGCGCACTTGCAGCTGATGGATATGGAAGACGCCCGAGCCGCGTGAGACCATGGCCGCTGCCCTCCGACCAGGAGCGCCCCCCCCCCCCCCGGGCGCAGGCGCAGCAGGCGCTGGCGGAGCGCCCCTCCAAGCTCGGCCCGGATTTTCCAGGACAGCCGCCGGCCAAGCTGGAGTCGCGGCCCCGGCGCCACTCCACGGGGCGGTGCCGCCTCCCCAGACAGGCTTGCGCCCTGAACAAAATCGCGGCGGGAGGCCTTTGTCCGTTCTCGGCCCCTGGTGGGCCCTCGCCGAGCCCCGGGGCCGTCCGCGGAACGGCCGTGGAGGAGAAGCCGGCCCCGGGGAAGGGATCGGGCCTTCGGGTGCCTCGTAGCGAGCAGGGTAGGACATGGCATATCTGGGTCTCTCAGGGGGGGGGGAAACACACACAGACACAATAAATCGTCGACTCCCAGGAAAATATGGAAAAGTATGGGAATTGGGGGGGAAGACAAACACCCAGAAAATATGGGAAAATATGGGGAATCCTGTTATTTGTGTGTATTTATTTGTGTGTCCCAGGGCCCCTTCAGTCTCGGGGGGGGCGCAGGCGGGAGTGTGGGGAAGGGGGAGGGTCACGCAACATGCTGCGTGCACCTGGTTTTCGGCCCCACCGCCGGGCGTTGTTCTTTCTACTCCGAGGGGGAGAAGCTGCCGATACCTGCCCTTTTCCCTCGATGCCACGGCTAGGTTCGCCGTGACATCCTGATCAGAACGCCCTTGGGGAGTTCTGGGGATTAGCGAGATCGATAGTTTGCTTGTCCCCCCCAGATGCGTGGACGTTCCCAGCGCCTCCAAGCGCTGGGAGACTGCGCCGCATGCAGCCGATTCGCCTATCCCCCTCTGCTATTCCCCCTGTCATTCGTCCGCCTCGAGCCTCCCTGTGGGGCCTGCCCACTGTCTTGGCTGCACTCTGTGGTGAACGCGCACGCGATGACCTGATGCGTGTGTACTCCCAGGGCCTTGTAGGCGCTGGCACGCTCGCGCGTGCATGCGCCTTGTCACAGACGCGAGGAGGATGACGAGGAGGAGGGGGAGGAGAAGGAGGAGCAGGAGGAGGAATAAACATGGGAATGGGATGAAGAGGAGGAGCAGGAGGATGGGGATGAGGAGCAGGAGCAGGAGCAGGAGCAGGAGCAGGATGATGATGATGATGATGATGATGATGATGATGATGATGATGAGGATGATGATGATGATGATGATGATGATGCTGATGATGCTGCTGATGATGGTGACGATGATGATGAAGATGGCGAAGATGACGAATATGATGTTGATGATGATGATGATGATGATGATGGTGATGGTGATGGTGATGGTGATGGTGATGGTGATGATGATGGTGATGATGATGGTGATGGTGATGGCGGTGATGATGACGATGATGATGATGATATTGATGATGATGATGATGGTGGTGGTGGTGGTGATTGTGATGGTGATGGTGATGATGATGCTGATGATGATGATGACAATGAAGATGACGATGACGATGACGATGATGCTGCTGATGATGATGACGACGCCGATGATGATGATGATGATGATGATGATGATGATGATAATAATGATGATAATGATGACGATGATGATGATGCTGATCATACTGACGATGGTACTATCGATGATGATGCTGATGTTGATGATGATTATGAGTGTGATGATGATGATGATGGTGACTATCAGTTTGATGATGCTGATATTGATGATGATGATGCTGCTGCTGATGATGCTGATGATGCTGATGATAATGCTGCTGATGATGCTTATGATAATGGTGATGCTGCTGATGATGATGCTGATGATGCTGATGCTGATTATGATGCTGATGCTGATGCTGATGCTGATGCTGATGCTGATGCTGCTGCTGCTGCTGATGATGATGATGATGATGAGGAGGAGGAGGAGGAGGAGGAGGAGGAGGAGGGGGAGGAGGAGGAGGAACATGAGGAGCAGGAGGAGGAGTGGAACACATGGGAAAAGGATGCGCATGGGGACGGGGAGGAGGCGGAGAAGGAGGAGAAACAGGAGAAGTTGGAGGAGGAGGAGGAGAAGGAGGAGGATAATGAGGAGGAGGAGGAGGAGGAGGAGGAGGAAGAGGATGAGGAGGAGGAGGAGGAGGAGGGACGAAGAGGAGGAGGAGGAGGAGGAGGAGGAGGAGGTGGAGGAGGAGGTGTGTTTTACCCCTCGTACTTCGCGTCAGAGATTTTTTTAGCGGAAGCCCGCTTGGTCTTGGGTGCCTTGGGATGCTTCTCGGACTTTCCCCGTTCCTTTTTCTGCCCTTCATCCTTTCTCCTCCCGGAGATCGAGGAGAGGATGTTTTCGATCGAATCGATCGCGTCGCCCGCGAGCTTCGATGGCCCACGAAGCGACAGGGGAAAGGTCGGGGCGCGCGCGTTGCCTTCCACCTCTTTGTCGTCGTCGTCGTCGTCGTCGTCGTCGTCAGTCAATAGCAAACACGCGTATATACAGATGTATACATTCAAGTCGGGCATGTCCCCCTACAGGAGAAATATTCAAGAATAGTAAAACAAGAGTCTCGGTACGATTATTCGATTATGCTTGAGTAGGTTTGCGCATGTTTGACATTTTATTTTTCGTCCAAAATCCGCCTGTAGGAGGACAGGCCCCACATAACAAATGCAAACGGAATTCGGCCACCTTCAAGGGCGAGCCGAGGCCCCTTTCGTCATAGAGGTGTCTGGCCCAGAGGCCCTTCGATCCCTAAATCCAGGTTGTCAGCCGAAGCAGAGCAAGCGCTGCAATTGGCGCGAAACGCTTTATTAAGATGGCAGAAACGGGTGATCTAGAAGAGCACCTCGGCACCTTCATCTCCGACGAATCTTTCAGTTCGGAGTCGTCGAGACCTTCAGTTTCGAAGGCGCCGCCAACAGGGCGCGGACAAGTCTTACCAATAGACCGTGCCTCGGGCACAGGCCAACACATCCCACGTCGCGCACGTGATCGGGCTATTGCGGCGGGGAGACCTGGCGTTCTGCGGGCGCGGCAAGATCCCGCATGGGATCGGAAGAAAAAAGGTGCGCCCCGCAGCCAGCGAATGCTAAGCATGGTTGCGAAGCTCCGGTGCCGAAGGCACCGGAGAGCACGGGGGCACCCTTACCATTCGACCAGGTGCAACTAGTACCGTCACCTTTGGCCGAGAAACAATGTCTAGACAACAAGTGGGGCTGAGGGGTTGGTCCACAGCCGCCGTGGAGAAACCAAAACCGATTGCAACCGCTGATCTGCTTTAGACACAAAGCCAGCAGATGGCATAAATGCATCAGCAGGCATAGACTGAGCAGAGCAGGTCGTTTTAACAACAACAGGAGGCGAACCTCCATAGATTGCGAGCGACCTTCACGGAACACGCAAGCGCAACGCAGGCGTATAACTCGGAGTGTGGGCCCTCAAGCTCGGGAGATTATGGGTGATCTGGCTGCTGCTGCCATGTAGGCACTCCAAAAGGACCAGCGAGCAATTGAACAGAAGCAAACCACATTCTGGAGCGATTCGTGTCGTTCAGAATGCTGTGCAGAGACATGGTGCACCCGAATCCAGAGTTATCCTGTTAGAGAATCGCAACAGTGAGTTGGCCCAACAACTTGATCATGCAGCCGCAGCGCGGGCTCACTTTTGACGCGAAACCAGCGAAATCATACCCAGCATTCAAGACATGATACAACCACTCGCCAACCTCCCTAGGAAATGTTGGACAGCGCGGATGGACAGTGCTCCACCATTTGCGATGCGACATCAATGCAAGAAGCTCGTCCCCATGTGGTCCAACATATAACTCGGTCCCCGTCTTACAGGGTTGAAGAGAATGAAAGGGTGATCGCAAGCTGTTGTGAACGGGTCCGCAATGACAGCGACCTCCATGATGGGATGCGCAGTGGATTTGTTGCTGGGATTAGTCGTTTCAGTATAAGGGTGGGTCATGTCGCGCGGGTGGTGAATGAGCAATGGCCCGACCGCCGTCCCCAGCTGCGCGGCACGTTGGCCCGGTAGGACGAACGCTGACTGGGCAGCGGGATTGCCCTTCCCCTCCAGCGGCCAAGGATTTGGCGGGTTAACGAGTCGCGGGCGCTACTCGCCCACCGACCGTCGAGGCGCTGCCCGCGGCGTCGGCGAAGGCCGACGCCGTCGCGTCGACGATGGCCGATGCTGTCGCGACGGGTAATCCTGACGCTTGTAATTGTCGCAGGCCTAGAGGTTGACACCAACACCAATATCGGCGGTGTTTCTCCACCGCGGGAAGAGGATCCCGATCTCGGTGATGGTGGTAATATTCTGGCTTCCAAGGTGACCGAACTATTGCCACCAACACCGACATCGAGGATCATCCCCCCCCTGTGGAGGCGACCCCCTGCGTTGGTGTTGGTGCCAATTTCCAGGCCTCCAAAATTGTGCAGTGCCCCGAGAGAGGGGAGCCATGTGCGTTCCACCACCGCCGCAACAGCATCCCGAATAGAGGCCTCCACTACAACGGCGAGAACCACCGACCACGACAAATGTATCATCGGAACGTGACAGGCCAATCGTGCAATAACTCTAGGTTCAGTCACCAGGGGATGGGCGCCGTGCACCAGATGCCCCACCGCCGCCCGCGATCGAAAGAGTGGGTACCAGCGTGGATTCATCCAGCGACCGTCAGTCTGCTGCAGGGGAGGTCTCCGTGATGCGAATGACAGAAGAGATACAAAGGGGCGGGGCGCTGCAATTTTCGGCCCCTACTTTCCATCCCCTATTTCGGAGATTGGACGCAGGGCGTCTACGAAACGTTGAGCTCTGCATCGGAAAGGCCCGAGGCGGCGTTCAGGTGGCTTCGCGAGGTCGCAGGTGAGGGCGTCGCGCGTTGAAAGCTCGCTGATGGGGGCTTTGACACGCTCGACGCAAAGTTAGCGTCGGGCCCCTGTGAAGTCCGTCGAAACGAAGACCTCAAACGACGGGCCAATCCCGCAAGGGAGAGGCCGACGCTCCAAATTGTCTTGTAAAGGACGGCGTATATTTTCAGAAATTGTGGATTGGCATCGGCTGGTTGGAGCCGATGGGTGCGTCTCTGATTTTCCTCATTTGCATGGCGTCAAGATGGCCGACGACAGTCAGAGTATGTTCCTGAAGCCTGGTTCA